TATTTTGGACAGGAAGACTATTTTATGTTTTTGGCTCTGAATAGTTTTCTTAAGAATTTTAAAACCTTCCTTAGCTATTTTGGGATATTCCATGCATATCTTAGAAGTTCCTTTTGTTTAAACCTAAAACAAATTAAGTACAAAAATTAAAATTTAAACAATACACAAAGTTAGTCTTTTAGATTAGTTAAAAAAAAGTGTCAACAAAAAAATGGCTATTCCTTTTTCCTTAAACATTCTTTTTGAAAGAAACTTAAGTTTCTCTACTTACTTGCTGTTTTAGTATTTTAGTAGCAGATAAATATAGTGTAGAACTAATGACAGGATTGATTATTATACTTCTTTCGTCGAAATTATATTTTTCTTTAATATTTTCCTTCCCTGAGGTCTGTAATAAAAATGTTCATTAGCATAAAAAGTTATTCATGTGGTCACTTGTTGAATTCCTATATTTTGGAACCATGTATTTCTTTCTCATATCAAGTAAAGTAAACCTAAAAAAAAATAACAATAAACTTTACAAACATTTGATATTAAAATAATAATAAGTAATTAACCTTTGCTATAATCATTATGAGATGGATGAAGACGAACTTAGCTGGAGTTTACTTGCTCTTAATTTTAATTTTTCGATAAAAAAATAAGAAAGTTTAATTGCAAATTAAAGGTGATTGCCTAATGCACCGCCTCTGATAATTAGGTTGTGTCTGTACTTACTTATGATATTATCTTGAAGAAGCATTTTCAACAGGCCTTTTACACATAAAGCATGTTTTCACCATATTATTAGAGATAGTAAATCTTAAATATACATTTACAACCCTTACAACGTTATAAATAATAATATTTTCCGTAAAATACAAATAAGAAATTGACATGTGTCAGAAAGTGTCAGAAAATCAAAGTATGTGGTCAGAACACACAGAACTGGCGCTGTCAAACTTAACAAACCTGATTAAATAAGCCAATTACAGAAGAGGTATTTACCCCCTCGGGGGGAGTAGATGTAGCTAACAAAATTTAGCGCGGGGAAGGGGGGAAGACTCCCTCTGGTAGTAATTGCTCGGAGGTTAAAATGGCATGTGTATTTAGTTTCAAAGTCAGATTGACATAAATATTTTAAATTTTTGGACGATTATGGACTAATTTTTTACCTAATACAAATGTAGAATTAATGCTTTCAAATTTAAAAAGTTGTTTACAAAATTATGTTGGTGATATATATTATGCTTACGTTTGTTTATTTCATATCTGTAATAGTTTTCTTAAAAACAATGTATATGCAACCTTGTTTTACGTGAAATAGAAGAAATTAGATACACTATAAAATTTACTGGTTTTCTTTTTATTTTGTTATAATTTGAAATATATATATTGCTGAGATTAAGGCTTACACCACAGTGTATCAGGAACGTCTAAATGCTGACCAAATAGAAAAACGGTGTTGCCAGATTTTCGAAGAAGAAATGTCATCTGTCAACGCATCTTTTAGTAATTTAAATATCCTATGAATGAAGTTAATCATTTTATTTATTTCAATTAGTATTTTTAATTTGGATATTTGTTAGTTATAGTTATACTTTTGAGTCAAATATGTTATATATTTGATCATCATATTTAGATATATAGGATGTTTCAATGAAAACGAACCCAAAAAAAACATTTTTTTTTTAAACACGAGTTTGTTTTCTGACAAAATTATTAATATCCAGCCCAGTTTTAACGATCTGTAATAAGTAGTCAGTCACCTCTTTTTTAATATTATGCATCGGTTGCCGTCTAGTGATACATACTACATGTACAATTTCAAAGGTTTTAATTATTTATCCAGGTGCAAATCTTTCAAATGATACAGGTATTGACTCCCCATACCATTAGTTAATTTAAGGTCTCACTCGAAAGACACTTATTAACTATCTTATGAGAAGGAAAATACAATCAAATTACGACTAAATAAAAAAATAGTATATACCCTTTTGTAGATCATGTTGAGACTTAAAATATTTATTAAGTCAAAATGGATACCCTCTGGGGCGATTTTCAGAAAACTAAGATGGCGCATTTGCTTTACAGGTGAGAGGAAAATCCTGAAAAACTCTCATCGCCATCATTGGTATAAAAATTACATAAAGTAGAATCATAATTTCAATAAAGTATTATTACTTCATAGAAATTCGTCTTTGTAGAGAATATTTGCTTTTCTATTTTTACTTTCCTATCTGTATACAGATATAAGGAAAGTATAGGAATCATGATTTTTTTCGACCTCGAGTTTTCGACGGATTTTTACGTTTTGAGGTCCCCCGAATCCGTTTTGACTATTTTCGCGATGATGTGTGTGTGTGTGTGTGTGTGTGTGTGTGTGTGTGTGTGTGTGTGTGTGTGTGTGTGTGTATGTGTGTGTGTGTGTGTGTGTATGTGTGTGTGTATGTGTGTGTGTGTGTGTGTGTGTGTGTGTGTGTGTGTGTGTGTGGGTGCGTGCGTGCGTGCGTGCGTGCGTGCGTGCGTGCGTGCGTGCGTGCGTGCGTGCGTGCGTGCGTGCGTGCGTGCGTGCGTGTGTGTGTGTGTGTGTGTGTGTGTGTGTGTGTGTGTGTGTGTGTGTGTAGGTCGCATAACTCATGAACCAATACACAAAAAAACACCAAATTTTAAACTTAAGCTTTATTCTAGCGTCTAATGAACTAATTAGATTTTGGGCAGAGTCGAAACATCTGGGGGGTACTTTATAGGTGGTCATTTTTATATTTTATGAAATATATCTGTTATTTACGTTTGGAGAAAAAAAATTTTTTATATATAATTATCTATATTTTTTGTTCTATACAAAATTTTCCTAAAATGGTCCGTATTCGAGAAATTTGACAAAATGTAAAAAAAATATTTTTTTATAAAAATTGTTTAAATAAAAGTTGTTTGTAATATAATTCTCTATAATTTTTATTTTATACATAATTTCTCTGAAATTGACCGTATTCGAGATATTTGAGAAAATGTGTAAATTTTGAATTTTGAAGAAAACTCAAAAATGGATTAAGAAAATAACATTAAATTTTAAACTTAAGGTTTATTTTGGCCTGACGTGACATGATTAGATTTTGGACAAAGTCGGAACATCTAGGGGGTACTTTATGGGAAGGCATTTTTATATTTTATGGAATATATCCGTTATTTATATTTGGAGAAAAAAATTGTTCAAATAAAAGTTACTTCTAATATTATTATCTATAATTTTTGTACCATACAAAATTTTTTTAAAATGGTCCGTATTCGAGAAATTTGACAAAATGTAAAAAAAAAATTTTTTTTTAAAAATTGTTCAAATAAAAGTTGTTTGTAATATAATTTTTATTTTATGCATAATTTCTCTAAAATGGACGGTATTCAAGATATTTTAGATTATTTCGGCCTGAGGTGAAATGATTAGATTTTGGACGAAGGCGGAACATCTGGGGGGGGGGGGGTACTTTATGGGAGGCCATTTTTATATTTTTTTATTATGGAATATATATTATAGAAAAATGTGTCGAGTTTGATGTATGTGGAAAATGTATATATTTAGTTTATCCTCTAAACATTTATAGAGGTGCTGCAATAGGTTGTACAAAATAACCGGAAAAAGCCTATAATAACTAGATAGGAAAGTCATGTGTTGGGCACATCAGATTTTTTTATTTAATGGTCCATTGCATAACCAAATTTGATTAAACTTTTTAAATTTTTAATTATGTACTTGTGTTCTTTTATTTGACGTGTAAATGCAAGGTCCTTAAATTGATTTGTGTGTCTTGTATTTCTTTACTATTTCTCAAGAATTTTTTATTGAATATTTTTGGAAAATATTATTTACTAATTCATCAACTTCTACTTTTTGTTGGTTTCATTAATTCGTGTTAAATAATCATTTTTATTAAGTAAGCCCACAGAATGTATATGTTTACAAATATTGGTTTTAATTGAAAAATCAATGCAAGAACACTGAACACATATTCAACAAATGTTACAAACCAACACACAACAAACACCTTTAAATTTAGTGACAATATGAACTAAATTATTTTTCCTGTCGGAAACTTTCATACTTTTATTGTCAATTTTTTTAACAATACATGCAAGCCCTATGTCTACTGATTATTTGCATTAAGTGATATAATAAATAGAATAAAATATTAAAAAAGAAAAGGAGAATTTTAACATGATTACTTCAGCCACACTTCATTGTGTGAGCCAATAAGGGTGAAAAGTGAAAAACAAAATTCTTGAAAAGTAGTGTGTACAACCAAAACTTCAGTCTAAGCGCGAAATTTCCAGCGGCAACGGCTAAAAATTCAATTTCCTAGATTGTAGATACAATCGGCCAAACATTGGTGTTTTAAGAATAGGCATAATCATTTAGATTTTTTACTTGGAACACTATATTCCATTTAATTTACCGAAATAGATATACTATTAAACTTTAAGTATATTTTTTAAAACCATTTAAATCTGAGGGCGTTGGCCAAACCTTAAATTTGCTGCCTGAGAAATCCAAAGAAAATTATCTAATAGAATTTATGTATTGGAGGAAGCAGAATATTATTCATAGCTTTACAAAGCGGGTGCTACTAGCGTTTTTTGAAGAAACGTCTAGAAAATACATGTCTTCTACAATATGGTCTAGCTATTCTAAATTAAGAGCAACCTTAATTATTGTTAATGATAACATAGATATAAATACATGTTCTAAACTAATAGCATTTCTGAAGGAGTTTAGTTAAAATATTCCAAATTACTATTTTGATTTTATTATTCGTATAGGTCCGCAGAAAAAATATTGTAGGCATTTTATGCAATTATTGCATAAATTACTATTTTTACATCAAGTTGACAAAAAAATAACTTATCTCTTAATTAGTTAATATTGTTTTCATTTAATTTCAGTTATAGTTTAATTAAATATAAATAATAAGAGTATTAAAAATAACAAAAAAATAATTACCATGAAATATACTTATTGTTCAGCCCTATTTAAATTTGATATATTTTAATAATTAATTTTTTCTATGCCGTGACTAAATTCAGTTTAAAATAAGCCGTTTTTTAATTGTTACTTGAATATTAAAAGCACTCGCATAAGAAGCGTCATCTTAAGAAACAGTAATAAAATGAAAGGTATAACTCTGATTGGTTTGGTAACTCTAATAGTTACTTGTAGTGCGATTTTTCCTCCTTCCGATTTTGATGATATTATTAGATATCTTGAGGTTCTTCCAAATAGGATTAGTCAACGAGATCTCATGACAAATCTGGTAAGCAATTTCCGCTACAGTTTGTTTGTTTGTTTGTTTGTTTGTTTGTTTGTTTGTTTGTTTGTTTGTTTGTTTGTTTGTTTGTTTGTTTGTTTGTTTGTTTGTTTGTTTGTTTGTTTGTTTGTTTGTTTGTTTGTTTGTTTGTTTGTTTGTTTGTTTGTTTGTTTGTTTGTTTGTTTGTTTGTTTGTTTGTTTGTTTGTTTGTTTGTTTGTTTGTTTGTTTGTTTGTTTGTTTGTTTGTTTGTTTGTTTGTTTGTTTGTTTGTTTGTTTGTTTGTTTGTTTGTTTGTTTGTTTGTTTGTTTGTTTGTTTGTTTTTGTTTGTTTGTTTGTTTGTTTGTTTGTTTGTTTGTTTGTTTGTTTGTTTGTTTGTTTGTTTGTTTGTTTGTTTGTTTGTTTGTTTGTTTGTTTGTTTGTTTGTTTGTTTGTTTGTTTGTTTGTTTGTTTGTTTGTTTGTTTGTTTGTTTGTTTGTTTGTTTGTTTGTTTGTTTGTTTGTTTGTTTGTTTGTTTGTTTGTTTGTTTGTTTGTTTGTTTGTTTGTTTGTTTGTTTGTTTGTTTGTTTGTTTGTTTGTTTGTTTGTTTGTTTGTTTGTTTGTTTGTTTGTTTGTTTGTTTGTTTGTTTGTTTGTTTGTTTGTTTGTTTGTTTGTTTGTTTGTTTGTTTGTTTGTTTGTTTGTTTGTTTGTTTGTTTGTTTGTTTGTTTGTTTGTTTGTTTGTTTGTTTGTTTGTTTGTTTGTTTGTTTGTTTGTTTGTTTGTTTGTTTGTTTGTTTGTTTGTTTGTTTGTTTGTTTGTTTGTTTGTTTGTTTGTTTGTTTGTTTGTTTGTTTGTTTGTTTGTTTGTTTGTTTGTTTGTTTGTTTGTTTGTTTGTTTGTTTGTTTGTTTGTTTGTTTGTTTGTTTGTTTGTTTGTTTGTTTGTTTGTTTGTTTGTTTGTTTGTTTGTTTGTTTGTTTGTTTGTTTGTTTGTTTGTTTGTTTGTTTGTTTGTTTGTTTGTTTGTTTGTTTGTTTGTTTGTTTGTTTGTTTGTTTGTTTGTTTGTTTGTTTGTTTGTTTGTTTGTTTGTTTGTTTGTTTGTTTGTTTGTTTGTTTGTTTGTTTGTTTGTTTGTTTGTTTGTTTGTTTGTTTGTTTGTTTGTTTGTTTGTTTGTTTGTTTGTTTGTTTGTTTGTTTGTTTGTTTGTTTGTTTGTTTGTTTGTTTGTTTGTTTGTTTGTTTGTTTGTTTGTTTGTTTGTTTGTTTGTTTGTTTGTTTGTTTGTTTGTTTGTTTGTTTGTTTGTTTGTTTGTTTGTTTGTTTGTTTGTTTGTTTGTTTGTTTGTTTGTTTGTTTGTTTGTTTGTTTGTTTGTTTGTTTGTTTGTTTGTTTGTTTGTTTGTTTGTTTGTTTGTTTGTTTGTTTGTTTGTTTGTTTGTTTGTTTGTTTGTTTGTTTGTTTGTTTGTTTGTTTGTTTGTTTGTTTGTTTGTTTGTTTGTTTGTTTGTTTGTTTGTTTGTTTGTTTGTTTGTTTGTTTGTTTGTTTGTTTGTTTGTTTGTTTGTTTGTTTGTTTGTTTGTTTGTTTGTTTGTTTGTTTGTTTGTTTGTTTGTTTGTTTGTTTGTTTGTTTGTTTGTTTGTTTGTTTGTTTGTTTGTTTGTTTGTTTGTTTGTTTGTTTGTTTGTTTGTTTGTTTGTTTGTTTGTTTGTTTGTTTGTTTGTTTGTTTGTTTGTTTGTTTGTTTGTTTGTTTGTTTGTTTGTTTGTTTGTTTGTTTGTTTGTTTGTTTGTTTGTTTGTTTGTTTGTTTGTTTGTTTGTTTGTTTGTTTGTTTGTTTGTTTGTTTGTTTGTTTGTTTGTTTGTTTGTTTGTTTGTTTGTTTGTTTGTTTGTTTGTTTGTTTGTTTGTTTGTTTGTTTGTTTGTTTGTTTGTTTGTTTGTTTGTTTGTTTGTTTGTTTGTTTGTTTGTTTGTTTGTTTGTTTGTTTGTTTGTTTGTTTGTTTGTTTGTTTGTTTGTTTGTTTGTTTGTTTGTTTGTTTGTTTGTTTGTTTGTTTGTTTGTTTGTTTGTTTGTTTGTTTGTTTGTTTGTTTGTTTGTTTGTTTGTTTGTTTGTTTGTTTGTTTGTTTGTTTGTTTGTTTGTTTGTTTGTTTGTTTGTTTGTTTGTTTGTTTGTTTGTTTGTTTGTTTGTTTGTTTGTTTGTTTGTTTGTTTGTTTGTTTGTTTGTTTGTTTGTTTGTTTGTTTGTTTGTTTGTTTGTTTGTTTGTTTGTTTGTTTGTTTGTTTGTTTGTTTGTTTGTTTGTTTGTTTGTTTGTTTGTTTGTTTGTTTGTTTGTTTGTTTGTTTGTTTGTTTGTTTGTTTGTTTGTTTGTTTGTTTGTTTGTTTGTTTGTTTGTTTGTTTGTTTGTTTGTTTGTTTGTTTGTTTGTTTGTTTGTTTGTTTGTTTGTTTGTTTGTTTGTTTGTTTGTTTGTTTGTTTGTTTGTTTGTTTGTTTGTTTGTTTGTTTGTTTGTTTGTTTGTTTGTTTGTTTGTTTGTTTGTTTGTTTGTTTGTTTGTTTGTTTGTTTGTTTGTTTGTTTGTTTGTTTGTTTGTTTGTTTGTTTGTTTGTTTGTTTGTTTGTTTGTTTGTTTGTTTGTTTGTTTGTTTGTTTGTTTGTTTGTTTGTTTGTTTGTTTGTTTGTTTGTTTGTTTGTTTGTTTGTTTGTTTGTTTGTTTGTTTGTTTGTTTGTTTGTTTGTTTGTTTGTTTGTTTGTTTGTTTGTTTGTTTGTTTGTTTGTTTGTTTGTTTGTTTGTTTGTTTGTTTGTTTGTTTGTTTGTTTGTTTGTTTGTTTGTTTGTTTGTTTGTTTGTTTGTTTGTTTGTTTGTTTGTTTGTTTGTTTGTTTGTTTGTTTGTTTGTTTGTTTGTTTGTTTGTTTGTTTGTTTGTTTGTTTGTTTGTTTGTTTGTTTGTTTGTTTGTTTGTTTGTTTGTTTGTTTGTTTGTTTGTTTGTTTGTTTGTTTGTTTGTTTGTTTGTTTGTTTGTTTGTTTGTTTGTTTGTTTGTTTGTTTGTTTGTTTGTTTGTTTGTTTGTTTGTTTGTTTGTTTGTTTGTTTGTTTGTTTGTTTGTTTGTTTGTTTGTTTGTTTGTTTGTTTGTTTGTTTGTTTGTTTGTTTGTTTGTTTGTTTGTTTGTTTGTTTGTTTTTGTTTGTTTGTTTGTTTGTTTGTTTGTTTGTTTGTTTGTTTGTTTGTTTGTTTGTTTGTTTGTTTGTTTGTTTGTTTGTTTGTTTGTTTGTTTGTTTGTTTGTTTGTTTGTTTGTTTGTTTGTTTGTTTGTTTGTTTGTTTGTTTGTTTGTTTGTTTGTTTGTTTGTTTGTTTGTTTGTTTGTTTGTTTGTTTGTTTGTACTAACTATTACACTAAATTATATATCTTTTACTGATACATTTATTTATATAGGGGAAGTCGGGTACAATTATTGTAAAAAATTTTACTTAATATTTTTTTGTTACTATCTGTAAAATTAAAAACAATAAATGTCTCCGTGTGGGCAAAAGATATAGCTATCCAAATAATCAATATTCATGATGTGGTCACTTCAGTAACTAGAAAAAAAATATATAAAGCGGTAGGGCAGAATGTTACAAATGTACCCGCAAATGTGACAATTTTAACATAAACGGGGGTCAAATGTAACAAAGTCTACAACTGTTGAAAATAATATTTATTAGTGAACACTAGTCACCCTCATCATTTTCATCGCAGTTCAAACAATAAAAAAGTCGTGTGCCGATTGTTTGCGTTTATTGCAATGAATCCATGTTTCCTTGGGTTTCCCGGTGTATAGTTTTAAACAATATAGACAACATGAATCTTCCGTTTCTGAATCATTCATTTATAAATCTGCCATTTTTTAATCTGTCACACGAGAGGAACCTTGTCTACCATTGATCTTCTTAGACTTCCCTAGGTAAACTTCTTTTTTTTGTTTCTTTCAGTTTTTATGGTGTTTTCGTCATCTTCATTTTGCTCTACATTTCTATTCAATGTATTTGCTTTCTCTTTACACTTACTCTGTTCTTCTTCGAGAATGAGCTTTTATGGCGTGTCTGTTAAAATAGCACTATTCTTCTCTCTTCTCTTCGTAATTTGCTATTATATGCCACCTGATGCCTTTGGAAGGGGGCGAACTTGTTTTAGAATCCAAAAGGATTGAATCAGATATTTAGGGTAATCTGGTCTTGTGCTGGGATATGGTATAGCTATATTTGCGACACCTTCGCCATTTTCATTGCCTTTTGTAGTTATTTTCTAGGAAATCCCTGTTACAGATGAAGGATAATTTTCCCGAATCCTCCCATATTTGTGGGTGGTTTTTAGAAATACCTCAGCAATTATACGGGTGATATCGTATACAGTCATTGTGTGGCCGGGATGCGATTTCGTCCAATTGTCCATTGCACCATTATTAGATTAACTGCCCTTTCCATTAGTTCATTTGAAGTATCTCTATTGGTTTTTCTAATTTTTTGGTGTGACATTTTATCCTGAATTACAAAATGCATAAACTCAGCATAAGGGGTATAGATGTATCACGTTACAATTGTACCGACTAGTGTTGTTACTTAGACTAGGTAATAAAGGGAAGACGTAGTATTCTGTGCCGATTATCTATTGGCCGCCATTATTTTGGTGCTAAGCATTTCGGTGACACCAAAGTTTCTGTTCGTGTTTATTTTTGATTTTTGAATTAAACGACATTTAATAATTGGTTTATAACAATGGTTTATTGTGTGGCATATCAGTGTTAAAGTTATAGCGCAAGGAAGAAGCACATATTACGTTTCACAGGTAAACGATAAACATTAATCGTTTTAACTTTATATATATTTTCTTATATTATTTCTTTTAATTTGGTGTTATACAACTTGTTTACATATTGTACATGTCTCACTCCAGAGTAATAAATTTTAGCCACCAACTTTGTTTATTTTATGCTCGATATCGCAAACAACTTTTATTTTAACAATTTTCATAAAAATCAAAATTTTTAACATTTTGTCAAATTTCTTG